CCCTCGGATGAGATGTCAAATAGAAGGGGGAAGTTTTTCTTTCTTTTTTTATTTGGTTGAAGAAATTCTGACACGATCGTATCTCACCACATCATGTTTATGTAAATCATTATGTAAACCTATTATTTACATATAGTACAACCATTTTCAATAGATTAATGCTACATGTATATAAATAGTTATATGATAATTTAGATACACATGAGGTGTTAAAAGGCGGAGAATTTTTTTTTTTTATTTGGTTGAAGAAATTCTTACTCAATCATATCTTACCACATCATGTGTATGTAAACTTATTACGTATATGTAGCACAATCGTTTTCAATATATGTAGAGAATTTTTGTTGGAGATATAAAATTTTCCATTGTGCCAAAATTTGATGATTTATTGGCTGCCTTGCTTGAGGAATAGTTTCATAAAAATGAGACGAACTAGAGTAATGTCCAATCTTGTTCGAGTCTCGGTCCTCAAAGAAAGTAGTCGTTAAATATAACTTCTATATTATGAAACCATATGAATTGTTTTTAAGAAAACTAATCTTATTGCATACCACATTTCCTTCTTTATGCAATTACATGCAAACAAATTGTATTATGTTAATTTTTTTAAATGCTTGACATTCAAATCTCTGCCGACTTCAACTGTTCATTATGTTCATTGTCGACTAAAAATTCTCTTTTATTTCACTCTCTTTAACTTTATTAACACATGACATGCTTTTCTCTGATAATTAATGATCAGATCGGATAAAGTAATTCAAAGATCAATACTTCAATAGGCAAAGTTTTAGGGTTAAGGAACAAGACCACATGTAATCAACAAAGTTATTATTAGCAAACCCTGATATTTAATTTATTAAATACAGATTGTCAACAACTCTGGGAAAAAGGTTCAATCACGCATTTCCTTTATCTGCGTATGTTATATGTCACTTTTACGTCGTAAAACACTTAAATAATGAAGCTCTCATGTTAGTTTTTCATTTCTCTCGGTAATTTGTTTTTACCTTGGGAAATAGTGTCTGGCTTGTCGTGTGCCATTCACTCTGACATTTAGAAAGGAAATAAGGGAATTTTCCAGTGAATTGGTAGGATTTTCGAAGGAATGGCTGATTCAAGGTATACTATCTCCTATCTTATATGAGATAGCGCATGGCCATGTTTTGTTCCCATTGTGTGACTTGTTAAGTTGTCTACTAAATATCACTACAACTTGTATCTTTCTAATAAAATCAACGTTCCGTAAATCAACGAAATCCAAAGTGACGTCTCTTTATTTCCTTCCTACTACAATACGAGAGTGAATATAGTCTCCATTACTAGATATACGATTATGCGTAATGCTTTAGACAGAACACGTAAAGAGTTTTATGATAGACATTATTTTAACAACAGATAGTTGTATGAATTAATATGGCCATGCATATTTTGTGCCACCTTGAATGAGTAAAAATATTGTTTAATAGCTGAACTACATGACCAGCGAGGCTGCTAACAATGGTTTTGGATCATTGACTCATTTCATTAATTTTATAACATTAGTGATAAAAAAAATGTGATAGTGTTACACGTAATGGTTGCCAGATTAATGAATGAGTAGTCAGAATTTAAAATCAATGAAGAAAAATATTCTGAACTTAGAAAGAACACCTTAAAATTATATATAGGATATACTTGTTACTATTAAATAAAAAATACATATGTAAATGATTTGCCAAAGCATAAAAGAAATATATTAAGCAAGGGATATCTACAGTTGCTTCATAGCATTTTGCTAAAGGTACAACTTCATAACCTTACCCACACCCCCCAACAAAACACCCCAAACATACAAAGAAATGAAAAAGGAGACATAAATGCAAAATGTACAATAACTCATTTTCCTTACTTAGCATTCACAGCTTTGAATCTTGGTTCTTTAGGGAGGAACTTTTGTACAGTATAAACAGACATGTAATCACCAAACACAAACTTGGGGTAAATTGGATCCACCGCCAGTTTGTCAGTTTTCTCAGCCAGTTCTTGAGCAGGTTCTATGGTAGCCTTAAGTGATGGATTGTAGAATGAAGCAATTGATCTTCGATTCCCGTCAGTCGAGGCAAAAACCCGGTGCCAAACACTCTTGTATCTTCCATTGCTGAGTACTTCAATCTGATCCCCTGTGTTTATGACTATTGAATTTTTCATAGGCTGGACATCAATCCACTCCCCATCTTTCAGAATTTGAAGCCCTTTAACCTCATCATCTTGAAATAATAAGATGACACCTCCTGCATCGGTGTGTGCTCGGAGGCCGGTCAGCTTTTCGGGGTGAGGACATGGCGGATAATGGCTCACCTTGGTGCCGAAGACAGCATTGTCTTCTTCTTCGGCCCCGTTGAAGGCTTTCTTGATGTACCCTTTTGGTAATCCCAAGTTTTCATCCATTACTTCCATGACTTTAATTGCCAGTTTTTTCAATTCATCTCGGTATTCCTTCATGGTTTCACTGTCAATGACGAACAACGATAAAATAAGTCTCATTCTCAATAAAATTGGGGATGATGATATGAAATAAAAGTTCAACTAAGTAATTAGTAATATTGATGAAATTATGCTTACTTGAATCCAGGAATCTTGGTTGGCCATTCATTTTCATTCTCATCTGAGAGAAGGAAAACATCCTCCCAATCCAAATTTTCCAATTTGTCCTCACTTTTCTTTTCCACCAATTCGTTTAGAAGCTTAACAGGCATTGAGTTCTTGAAATTTTCCTCTCTTTCCAATTTGTAGCATTCAGAGGCCACCTTCTTCACCTTCTCCAGGAGCTCCTCAGGGATTCCATGGTTCACTAACTGCAAAATGGCACACAATTTCAGATATCAAGATGCAAAATGTAGCAATAAAATGAATCACAGATCTTTGGTTAAATTCAATGTTTAACTATCACATTTAATAGTATTTCTGTTCTTTTTTTAAAAAGGAGTTCCAACTCTTCGTCGTGTTTAGCATTGTGTGACTGGTTTTAGCCCTCGCAGAAGGCTCAATTCCTTGGAGTGTTAATTAATAGTTACCTGAAAGAATCCCCATTCTTCGCAGCAGTGAGCAATCTGAGCCAAGGTTTTGGCCCTCTCCTTACCATCGAGCTTTGAGAAATCAATAACTGGAATAGCCATTAATGGAAATGTACAAGAAAACAAAGAACAAAAACTACGTATGAATTCCTTAAACTGATGTGGTGCTGAAAAGGTTTCCTCAAGGCTATTTATATAGTGAAAATTTCATAATTTCCCTTCTTCTAGGATGTCAAAGCTGGAATTATATAAATATAAAGTGAGGCAATGGACGGTGACAAAAAGTCAACTAATTAAAAGGTCAATGTGGCTGGGAAAGGAACTAACTGCTATCCCACAACAGAAGCATTCTTCCTCGGTTTATGCATTCATTTCTTGTTTATTCATTAACATTACTGCTAAACACCTGCTGCTTTTCTTTTTATTATTATAAATAAAGTTTAATGAGTAATTTGATAATATATACACACCTATTAAAACCCGTGATACAGAATATATTGGAAAAACGATCTAATGAGAAACAATTAACATTTACATGTAAGGATTTTAATCGAACATGTTGGCTTATATGTGAAATATTGTGTATTAAATTGAAAACTAGCAATTCCGGTTAAGCCCGTTTAAAGTGATATAATAAGGTTTCGGTATTTTGGACTTTTGATGTAGGAGCATCCGACTCAGATAACGTTGAGCTATCAGACAGTACGTTGATTGGGCTAAGATATCACGAGTTGGCAGATCAACACAAATATGACAAGAGAACGTAATATTTTCCTAATTGAGCGACATTTGGACGAGTTTTGGTAATGGCCATAACTTTGGCTACGGTTATCTGAATCGCTCTCATGACCCCAATTCGGAAAGCTCTTTTGGTGCGCACATCGTGGCCACCCAGCTATGCTCGGTGCGAATCATTTTTTAGGGCAAAATCCGTTGTTTTCCCTTTCAAATTCCAATTTTAAGTTATTTTTTTGCCATTTTTACTAATATTTCGTTTGCCTTTTTAAGATAAATTATGAACCCAGATTGAGCTGAATTTTTGAGATTTTATTTCTTTTTATGATGTACTATCTTTTGGTATGAATATTGAGATTTTGCTATTTTTGATAAAATTTCGATAATTTTGATTTCTTTAGCTATTTAGCCCAACTTGTGGGTTATTTTCGCATATGGGATGAATAATAAAGACTTTCGTGTTTTTCTTGGCGTTTTCTCTTGAGTTCTTCTCTGTTAATCACCTATCAAACTTAAGCCTGCAAAATAATCACTATTATGTCCAGCGTCAACTTTGAAGCATCCAATTAAAGTGTGAGCCTTTATGTGTAGAGACCATATTTGTTCCTAATTTCATGATGGGCCGAATTAGGTCAATGAGCCATTAGTGTATATATATGGAGAAAATTACCTAAAACCAAGTATTTAAGTTCCCAAATTCAAAAATCAGGTGCAATGTTTATTTTATCAAAAATCAGGTGTTAATTAAAACCCTAATTAAACCTAATTTTTAAATTAATTAAAACAAATTAATTACACATGCCCACCCACCTCCGAACACTTCTTTTACAGTGAACTCTCCCACTCTCTCTTCCCCCAAAAATCAAATCCACACTCTCTTACCCAAAAATCAGATCGGCGACTTCTTTCTCACCTCACCCTCTAGATTCCGGCCACCAACCACTTCTCTCGCCAGAGTTTCGCGAGACCAGTCACCTACTGCATCAGGGATCTTGTAAAATTTTCCGACCAGGTTTCTCCCTTTTCTGGATATACCCATCACAGGCGTAAAAAATCAGATCGGTGTCTTCTTCCCCACCCCTAGGAAATATATTCATGAGTTTTGTGGGGTTAGATGGTTGTTTTACGACTTTAAGCATTGATGACTTGTCTGCACTGTGGATTAATTGGTCATTGTTCTTATTGACATGTTGTCTCTAAGGTATTTGCAGCATGGGTCATTTCCTAGATAATAGAACTGGCTATTTAAGGACGAACACCTTCACCATCTCTGGGAAAAATCCCCAACTGTACATGGATGCACGGGTTTCCCCTCTGTCATTATCTTATTATGGGTTCTGTCTCGGAAATGGAAACTACACAATAAGCCTTCACTTTGCAGAGATCGTGTTTACTAAAGACAGAACATACAGTAGCCTCGGAAGGCGCTTATTTGATGTTTACATTCAAGTGCTTACATACTTGCCACAATTCTTACAGATAATAGAAATTTTCCCTAATAGATGGGAATCCATTTGATTTGCATTTCATTTGTGGTATCCTATTGATCATCAAAAAGTTCAATAACATTTGGGTTAAATTATTTCAGGGACAGCGGGTGCTCAATGATTTCAATATCGAAGATGAAGCTGGTGGAGTTAATATAGGAATCATAAAAACCTTTTCTGCAGCTGTCACTGATAATACTGTGGATATCTGCTTCTACTTTAAACATTTCTCTTGGGACTTGTGAATTAATGGCACTGATATAGATCACCGGCCAGTTAAATGAGTAGGATTGTGATGCTAGTCCGTGGTGTAAGTGGGTGACCATTTGTGACCAAATTTGTGTGTATTGTGACTGGTTGTGACCAGTTTTGTGCTAACTGTGACTTGATCATATTTAAGTCACATTAGGTCACAATTAACACAAAATTGGTCACAGACAGTCACACTTAACACTAATTTGATCACAGTTAGTCACATGAATACACATTTGGTCACAATTAGTCACATATGAGACCTATTAGCGGCTTGATTATATAAAGTGACTTGACATTTTTTTGGTAATTTTTTTAGGAGGTGGAGATAGGGGTGGGGTGGTGGTAGGTGGATTTATAGGTTGGGGGTGTGATTTCAAATTTTTAATTTTCTGAAAATCTTGAAGTCGCCGAAACCGTCGCCGGACTAGTGGTGGCAAAAAAGTTCGCCGACTTGGACGGCTCGGGCTCAGCCCGAAAAAAGCCTAATCCGGGCCCGGCTTGGGCTCGATGGAACAGAGCCCCATTTTGGGGGCGGGCCGGCCCAACCCGTGATTAAATAAAAAAAATTAAAATTTTTTTTAAAAACTAAAATAGCTGAAATTTTTTTAAAAAATATTAAAAATCGAGCCGGCTCGACCCGCTAAGGCTCGAGCCAAAGCTCAGGCAGAGCCTTATTTTTTTTTGCCGGGCTCAGCTCGGCTCGAGCCCGAAAAAAGCTCAAGCCAAGCCCGAGC